TTATTATTATTATTCAACTATAAGGTCTTTTTTTTTCCTGAAAACACCTTTTAATAGCACATTAAACTGAAGTTCCATATAATATGCTTTAAGAAATGCTAATTTTGACTAATTTAAGCTGCAATAATAGAAATATAACTTTTGCAACATGTGATATCTAGATTCCATATGGAACATTGAGGTTTGTGGTTTCCTTTCAAGTTCAACCACAAACATCCTGAGTGGTACAGCATGGACTTCTCTCTCACCATTACTTGTCTGTAAGCTCCTTGAAGGCAGAGACCTGTCTACCTTGTGCATCATCTCCCCAGTGTACAGCCTCTAGTGTTCCAACTCAATAGATATTCTTTAATGATTCTGGAAAAGGACCACATTTCATTGATCTCAATAGAACCATCCACCTATCCCAAGCCCCATTCATTTTGTGGTTCTTTACCACAAAACCTAGTAATATTTTTGTGAAACACAAGAAGGAACCATCAAGAGAGCAGATTAAAACTAAGAGTTGCCCTGGCTGGCGTAGCTCAGTGGATTGAGCGTGGGCTATGAACCAAAGTGTCGCAGGTTCGATTCCCAGTCAGGGTACATGCCTGGGTTGCAGGCCATGACCCCCAGCAACCAAACACTGATGTTTCTCTCTCTCTATCTCCCTCCCTTCTCTCTCTAAAAATAAATAAATAAAATCTTAAAAAAAACACACAAAAACTAAGATTCATGCCACTTTGAATAAAATGCAATAAAGTTAGGCGATGAGAGTCCGTTTACCAAGATTTGATTTTCACTCAAGTTTTAGGTGTTTATTTAAGGCTCAAAGAAAGGGGCACCATAACCACAAACCACTTGCTCTGCAACCCACAGGGAAGACGGCTCAGTGTGAAACCACCTCCATGGCACAGTCACTGCCACTGTTGGTCTCTCTCCCCTGCCTCGACTCTCCAGAACCAAAGCCTACAAAGGGTATCACAATACTATTAGACCTGCCTCTGAAATAACTGCTAAATTTACAGCAACTAATAATGATCTCAAAGTCAGGAAAAAAATAAACATAAAAATAAATCATAAAATGCAATGAAAATACCAGAAACACCTTTGAGCCAAACTGACTTTGAAATGAACATAAGTAGGAAAGGAATAATTGTTAGCAAAGCAATCAGCTCTCTTATGTAGAGGAAAGAGTTTGCATTTATGCAGCTCCTGCAAAATTCCAAGCCCCCTATGCTTGATATCTAAGTTATTTTTCTCCACAACCACACGTTTAATATTATCCTCATTTTATATATGAGAAAACTGGGCCTCAGAGAGGTTGTGACCGGTCCACGGTCAAAGGAAGTGTCTCGGCATTTGCTAGTAAACCAGGTAATTAACAACCAGAGTCATGAGCACAAAGTGTTAGGGACTCGTGTTGTAGATTCTCTAAAGCCTGCTTTTGAATCCCAGCCTGGCCCCTTCCCAGCTGCTAGATATGAACAATATACTCAGACTCCCGGTGTCTTAGTTTCCTCAATTGTAATATGGACAAAAACAGTATTTCCATCACAGGATGGCTGTATTTAATGAAAAAGATATGTATAGGCTTATCAGAAAATTAAAAATAAATGATTTTATTACAACAGTGATTTAGAATCTTATGAAAAAAATTGCAGTTATAAAAAAATTGTCATTTTACAAAGCATTCTCACACAAACGTTTATCATGTGGCTTAGTAGATAGGACAGACATCATTATCCCTCCCAACAGAAAAAAATAAGGTATCATCTACACACATAAAATTACACCTATTTGTTATTGAATCTTTTTTCTTCTACCCTCCACTGTGGTCTTGTGGGGCGTGTGCTTGAGTGTGTGTGCTTTATTGTTTTCCTTTGCCCATCTCTTCATCTCTAATTATGGCACAGCTTACAGCGTATGATTTGTGTGAAGTTCTAAAGCAATGGGTATATGAATGAGTGAATGGTGCATGAGTGAATTCGCCAGGATGCCAGAGCTAGAAAGTGGCTCTAAAATAAACAAAATCTGAGTGTCCAGACTCCAAGTCCCAAGTCTCCTCTGCTACCTGCCACCTTCTATTTTTAAATGACAGTGTTTCACAGAATCAAGGAACTTCAGACGTGCAAAGGCCCTTGGAAACCACCTTTAAGTAATACTTCCACTTTACAGGTGAGGAAACAGAGGCTAAAAAAGTCCCATTACTTAGCTGAAATCATGCACTGAGGAGATGGGCGACCTGGGCCAGCACCAGATTCCCAGAGTCCAAGATCAATGATGCTGCTACGGCATGCTGGCAGAAGCCGGCAGAGAACCGCCCCGCCCAGGCCTCCATGTGTCAGCTCAGGCTTGTGAGTGACACAGCGTGTGCCTCATGCACCCAAACCACTCCTTGTGCACATACTACAGCACAGCTTGCGAAGCAACATGAGAGGGGGCTTCTGCTGGGATTTAATTTGAAAGGGTCTCTGTTGCCAGTGGCACCGTTCCCCGCCAGGACTCTATGAGCTGAAGCTAGCCTCTGAGTGCAGACACATGAGGAGGGAGAAGGCCTTAACCCACTAAAATGAGGAGAGGAGACCGCCATTTTCTTTCTGAAGCTTCTAGATCACTCAGGGCTCTAGCCTGGCTTCAGGGCGGGTGAAACTGGCTGAAGCTTGAGGTCTAAAACATTTCAGCAAAGCTGGCTCTGGAGCATAGGACAATGTGGCACAGTCCAGTAAGAAAGTCTATCCTTCCTGGTGCACATGTCAACTTTCTAATGTGCCATATCCGTGGTAGCACACGGGAAGCACAGGAAATCACAGGTCGATACGTTCTAGCATTTCAACAAAGCAGCATGCTATGGGGAGAAGGTATCGATTGACCACCAGCCTGAGGAGTATGTCCTGGTTGACATTTGCTCTGGTCTGACCTGGTTTGGAGAGTTGCATTTGTCTCTGTTACCCATTTGCATGTGTGTCAGAGAAGCCTCACCAAATCTGTGCACATAACGGGTTCCAGATCCATGTTTAAGGTATTAATGACAGACCAGTTACGCCTGCCCTGCTCTTTCTTCTTCGTAGCACTGTGTGTGTGTTTAATTAATGTTAGTCTCTCCTGTGAAAGCAGAGACCATGTTTGCCCCACTCATCATTGTATCGTCTGCCCCCAAACAGCACTGGGCCCGTAGATGGTGCTTAATCATTATTTTAGGATTAAATAAAGGAAGAAAGAAATAACTAGATGACCAGGGGCCTGACCTCTGAGGTGAACTCTGTCATTTAATTAACCATGTGAATTTGGTTAAATCTTATACTTAATTTTAGAGCTGGAAAGGAGCTTAGAAATCGGCATGTTGGCTGACCGCAAACCGTTTCAGCAGTGGAATCCGAAGGAAAGCATACGTAAGGCCTGTGCCCGAAAGTGGAAGAAGCAAACCTTCTCTGGAGATCCTGCCCGATCACCTCCTCCCCTTGGCCTGACTTCCCACACTACAGTGGCTTCTAGGACTTCTTCAACCGATCCTCAGGATTTCAGAGGGCACTGGCTGAAAACCACTGACCTACATCAAACCTATCATTCGCTAAGTAAGGAAAGTAGGATCCAGGAGAGGAGGGAGCTTGCTTAATGGCACTAGACCAGTGCCTGCAGAGCTGGAATTAGTATCCAGATGTCCTGACCCCCAGCCTCGTTAGCAGCCGTTCACGTCTCAGGATCTCTTAAATCACCCCGGAAATGTTCAGTAGTGAAGAAGAGATGTTTGGAAGAGGACGTTCAGAGCTCTGGGACACTCCATAGTCAGACACCGTGCTGGAGGGCCATGAAGCACAGTGGCTGAAGGAAGGGCTGTGGGTCAGGCAGATCTGTGTTCGGAGCCCAGTTCCGCGCCCCACCAGATGGATGAGCTAGGAGAGCGATTTTCACTCGTGTTCTGTGGCACACTGGTGTGCTGTGAGCTGACATTCTCAAAATAGCCAAATCAGTCAAGTTATCAGTGAAAATTAAAAATGTGTATTTTATTTTAAAAAAATAAAAAATAAATAAAACACGCAATGCCTGACTATTTAGTCAGGAGCACAGACCTCTTTTCCCTTAGACGGTCAAATGAAAAAATGACAACAGCCAACATAACAATAGCCATTCATTGTAAATAAATCAAAATTATACCTATCTGTAGTGTAAGATCAGCAAAAATATATTTTTTTGGTGTGCCGCAGAATTTTAGTAATTAGTTTATATGTGCCATAAGACATAAAATGCTGAAAATCTTCGGGCTGGAGCAATGCATTCGACTTCCCCAAGAACTGGCTTCCCTACCTGTAAAATGCCAAAGCACCGCTCATCGCACAGAGGATGTTGTGAGAACTGAATGACCTGCCTTCATGACGCATTGTAAGTGCCCGATAAAAGGATGCCGCTGTTGAACACTCTGTAGCTGTGGTTCTACTGAGGATATCCTTTTAAGTCTCGGCTATTTCAACCACAATCGCAAACACACATTCATCATCTAACAAGTGTGACAGCTCCCTCATGAACCTCCATGACAGCCATCACAGTGTCATATCAGGACTACTTATATTCAGACCAACGTATCCCTAGTGTCTAGCACAGGGTCGGGCATATAACAGTTGCTAAGAAACAGTTGTAAACAATGAATGGATACACAGGTTATTTCACTTAGCTGAAGCTGACTCACCTCATCTACAAAGTGGTGAAAAATGATAGAACCTATCTCAGGCAGTTTATAAGGTTTAAATGAAGTAGTATATTCAAAGTGTAAGTGCCATCCCCAGCATACAGTAGTACTTGATAAATATTAGCTCTTTATTCTTCACCTTGCCATTGCTAATCTCTTGTGCAAAGTAAAGAAAAAGGAAGAAAGAAAAAAGACTCTTCACCAAGAGCCTGCTGAAGGGGCATGATCCCTTGGTCCAGACCAGACGCTCCCCCTTATAGCAAGGCCCATGCCACTGACCGACCTGCAAAAGCACTCTATGAATGAAAATCAAAGGCTAGCTTAGCCCAGCTCTTACCTGTATATTTTATATCTGGTTGTAAATCCTTGACGGTGTCTTTCCACAAAGGATAGGTAGCTCCTGGAGTGGTGGAAAGGCCCCCTGTCTGAAATGAGCCAATCAAATTCCTTGGAGACATGTTGGTCTGTCCCAGCTGGTTCCTGGTGGGAGGGCTGCACTGAGATACGGCCCCATATAAACAGGAAGTAGAGGAGCTCAACAAACCTCCAGTTCATGCTTTTCTGCCGGCCTTTTTCCTCTCATTCTTGCTCCATTCTGTGGAGTCCTATGGAGAAAAGAAGAGGGAGAGAGGCAGGGAGGGAAAGAGAGAGAAAAAATAAAAAAAAGAGAGAGAGAGAAAGACAAAGGGGAAAAATGGTATTAACACATCTTTTTAATACTACCTTGAATCAGTAGAGTATTTTAAGGTTTACAAAATCCAGTACAGGGTCTGGTTAAGAGCAGACATCTGTGGAGATCTGGGCTCACGTTTCTGCTCTGCTGGTCACACGCTATATGAACATGTTCATTGCTTAACTTCTTAGGGATGTAGTTTCCTCATCTGTAGAACACAGCATGGGCTGAAGTGCCTACGCCTTGGCACTTGCCACATCGAAGATGTTGAAGGCATATGTATTGAAAGAATGTATGAAGTGAATAGATGCAGAAACAGAGTCTCAGGAATGTGGAGGCAGGATCCAAGTGTCTGTCCCACCTATCATCTTCACAAACAACCTGTCTCTCCTGACCGGGACTCAGTAAATGAGAATTCCTTCCTCTCCTCCTCTCACACAGACACATACCTACTGAATATGCATTTTGCTTTTGTATAATTACATGCATGCACAAAGTCTCAAGATGGAGCGTGACTTTCTGGGTTGGATACCTTACAGATGATGTGTTTGTGGAGCTCTTTAGGGTCCACTTCTAGAGGGCTCAGTGGAACGTCTCCCTCACCCCAAGGAAATGTGGCCAAAGAATTCACCTGTTGGTGATTCTAAGCCTCTAGGTTCCCTGTGTTCAGAAGGGAAACCAAAGGCCAAGAAACTAGGTGGGGTCTTGCCCATCTCTTCTGGGGAGGATGGTAGCAGAGTGCAGTGGTGCCATGGTGGAGAAATGTTCAGACTGAGGAAGAGCTTAGGAAGAGGTTCCTTGAAAGAAGAGAAAGACCACAAGGCCATGTCTAGCCTTCTGAAAATTTACAAATTTTGTTTTTATCATTTCCTCATGATTCTACTTACTAGCTAGAACTGTGCTTTCTGTTTCCCCTACCCTACTTATTCTAGAAGAGCTTATCTGAGTCCATACTGAAAGGCAGCTTTGAAGCCAGGTTTTATCAGTTCTCAACAGTATGATTTCAGGCAAGCCATTTAACTTTTCTGAATCTCAGTTTCCTTGTCTGTAAAATGCGATTAACAATAGCACCTAGTACAAAAATACAATCACGCAATTCATAGAAAGTGTTCCCACCAGTGCCTGGCATTTAGTAAGTGCTGCGCGATGGGGAGGATGGTGGTAATGAAGAGTGTTGGTCCTGATGATGTCCACTTATTCCCGCTGGGAGCGTCTTTGCTCACATGGTCCCCCCCTGCCCAGCTGAGTCCTGTCTGTCCTTTAGCAGCCAGCTGAGTCAGGTCCTCAAAGGCCATTTCCTTTTTCTATTCACCTCCAGAAGTGTTCGTTGATCCTTCCTCTCTGCTCCAGTTGCTCACTTTATATAACTGTATGTTGGTGCTTATTATTTTTTATTATACTTGATTGTTTCTGTGTCTGTCTTACTCACTGGGCTGTGAGCCTTTATCTGGCAAGAACCTTTAAAAGACTGTTTCTACACATGGCTAGCAGTGTGATTCTGGACAGTCATGTCCTCTCCCTGGATCTCAGATTTTTATTTCTAACTTTTAAAAATGTGGCAAGGACACAGACATTGTGCCAAGTGTAAAGTAACAATAAGCATAGATAGATACATCTTATTTGTCTACTCTTCCAACTAACTTGGAAAGGAAGCAAAGCCAAAAAAAATAAGAGAATCAAACAAAGAGATGGAAATTTCCTACTCAGCTGCATGATTCCTTCTGTTGCCCAACGCACCACTTTATTATGAGTAGCTGCAGAAGTCTGTTTGGCCCCACAAGCCCCAGCTGTCAGCGGCCAAGGAGTGAGGCACGTGAGTGGAGGAGTGGGCTGTCAGAAGCTGGGGCCTGAAGTTTTGTTCAGAGCCTCAGACAAAGCCATACGTGGTGAGTACAGAACTGTCACAGCTGCAGCTGCCAACACTGTCTGCCAGGCCCACCTGAGTGGCAAGCAGGGGGTGGAAGCGACTGTTCAGAGATCCTGGTGGGGAGCTGCGACACGCTGAAATTGCAGCATGTCACCCATACAAACCTTCCACATGGCTTCTGTTGTAAGTGGGTGTGGGGTGGGAGCTTGTTAAGAGAATGCTTGGCCATTAGACTGTTTGCAAGGAAACACGATTCAGAACACTGCAGCTTTCCAAAGTAGAAGGAAGCTATACATAGAGGGGCAGTGTACACGTGTGTGTCTGTGCGTGTGAGAGCGTGAGACCTTGGCCTGCAGTCCTAGAATTTGCTGAAATCTGAAAGATTCAATCCAGTGCTTCCCAAGTGGTTGCCCTTTTGTGCCTCACGGGACATCTTTAATTGTCACGACTGAGGGGGCGTTATTTACATCAAGTGGGGAGAGGCTAGGGATGCCACTAACCCTCCTACAAATGACAGGACAGCTCCCTACAACAAAAAATACTGGACCCAAATGGCAATGGTACAAAAATTTAACCTTGCTTTTATCCAACTATTTTTTTTTACAGGACATGACCTCAGAGGCCAATTGTACTAGATTTCTATCTTTTGGCTCCCGGTTTTGTTTTGACATGTTGTCTCAACAACACAGTGGGCACATACAGCCATGTTTGAACCTTCTCTGTTGTTGGGGCCTGTGCTGAAATCTACACTTGAGCAAGGAGGGATGAGCGCTTCAGGGAAGGAGTCTGAATGTATATCTCTGCTGACTTAGAAAACCACAATAATCCACAGAACACTAATAATGAAAACAGAAGTTTCTATAAGGTGAATTTTAATGGGCATGGATGTTTTGCTGGGCAAGAACAAGAGCCAGCGGATATGTTACCTCCACGTGGTCATATTATGATGGACACTGTGACTCCCACTCGGTAAAAAAGCCCATATTAGCACCAATTGTACTAAGAGACTCGGGATCATTTTAAAGTCATGTGACTGGTATTTATTGAGCATCTACTATGTACTTGGATCTCATGTTTGTTGTGTTGGTAGTCATCAAAGAACCCAGTACAGAGTAGATGTTAACAGAGGTGGCCGCAGCTATCTCATTTCACAGATGAGCACCTTGGGACTTTAAGACATGGAGTAACTTTCCCAAGGTCACAACTCTGAAGTATTACATTCAGGATTCTAACCTGAATCTCTCATTACAAATTCTAATAATTTCAACTACATCCCCACTGTCATCCCACCCCAGCTGAAATTAGGTCCTGCCCTCTGTAGGTTCAATATATTGTGGGGAGTCACACCCATCCATGAGGAATTCTAATATGAAATATGCTGTCATAAATACTACAAAAAAAGGAAAAAAAAATCCATTGGGGGAGGAATAAAGGCCAGGGAAAAAGTTTTCAGCCCAAATATCTAAAGAAAAAAAAATCCTACAGAAAACTCGAGCATGGCCTTAAATAGCATGTAAGGGTTTATTAGGGAGAGAGGCAGTAAAGGAAATTCCAGCGGAGCAAGTGGCGTCCAACGAGTCCAGAGGAAGGAAGAGGGCAGAGTGACGGCATGCTGCCCGGGGTAGAGCACAAGGTAGCAAAGACTTTGGTGAGAATAAGCACCTGTGAGATGTCTGATCATCCATATTTCTTTCCCCCTCATCAAGCGAGAATGCCGTATTTCATTTCGGTGGTATATGCTAAGGACAAAGCACCGGGGATGGTCAATAAATTCATTTATTCATCCATTAACATATGTAGCTGCAAATGAAATAGCAAACAGAGCAGCCAGGGCCCTCTGGGAGCTTCTCTGCTGTTGGGTCGGGAGGCATAAACAAATGAGAAGTAATCCATGATGCTGAGGAGCGCTCTGAAGAAAATCAAAGCAGGTAAGAGAGGACTGAGAGAGAGGGTGCTGCTTTCCACATGAGTGTTCAGGAGAAGCTTCTCTGATTAAGTGGGTTTTCGTCAGAGACCTGAAGGGCATGAAGGTGTGAGCGGTGCAAGTGCCTGGGGCGGAGGGGTGGGGGCAGGGTGGGGAGATGTCATTGGAAGGAAGGGAGAGAGGGGGTCAGCACTAGTTTGCATCTGAATATAGTCACAGGTCAAGATGCATTTCATTCTCCTGCAAGGAGCTTACAGACTAGTTGCTGTGGAAGTTACTCTGAGGAAGGAATCACGCATTAAATGAACATCTGCTATGAGCCAGGACCAGGAGAGCCAGTTTCAAAAAGGAACCACACACTAAATGAGCACGTACTGTGTACCATGAACCGTTCTCGCTGCTTTATGCGTGGGACCGCCTCTCAGCATCATGAAAGACTATGACTTCCGTTTTATACAAGGGGGAGGGGAAACCGAGGTTCAGAAAGTCTGAGGTCCAACAGAACAGAGCTGGCAAATGACAGAGCTAGCATTGGAGTCTGCGCTGTCCCGTTTGGGAGCCACGCACCACATGTGGCTCTCAAGCACGTGAAATGTGGCTACTCCAAATCGAGGTGTGCTGTAAGTTTAAAATCCACACCCCCCGGATTGCAAAGACTTAGTCAGAGTAACCGAATGTAAAGTATCTCCCTAATATTTTACACTGGTTATATGTGGAAATCTTACTATTTTATATGTATTGGATTAAACAAAATACATTATTGAAGTTCATTTTATCTGTTTATTTTTCATTGCTTTAACGTGGCTAGCAAAACTTTAAAATGCATATGTAGATGGTATTCTATTGCTATAGGAAAGTGCAGGGCGAGCATGTTCTGTGACAGTGCCTGAGCAGGTCACTCCTCCATCTCCACATTGTTACCCACATTTGGAAGACTGAATTCACTCTCTCCTGCAACTGTCTGAGCCACTGTGCACTGGCTTCCTCCCTTCAAAACCAATAAACAAACAGACATTAAATACGTCACAAACAAAAACTTCCACATTCAAGGGCCACATCTCCCAATTGCATATTCTACAGACAGCCCTGCCATGCATTTCAGAACTATTGTATTTCCAACATGCATAAAGACAGCTTTTCC